GGGGGGGTAACAATGAGTTGTGAGTAAAGCTCTATTCCAAGGAGCACAATGAAGAGGTTGCCAAGTTTGACGATGGCATGGGGATGGGGACCAGGTTTGTGACTTTTTCTATGACACTCTCCTTTAACTTCAGGAGTCGAAACTCCCAAATTAATCTCGACGCAATACCAACTTACATCATCTTGGGGTCAAGTGTGCCGGCTGACACGTCATTAACAATATGCGCTCCTGCAGAAACAGCGTCCTCTGCAACCTGCCATTCACCAGAGAATAGGAGACATGGTAGTATAAAGAAGATGTTACAATGCTCAGTGAGAAACACACAAACAAATAACCTGACCAAGCAGCACTCACCGACCCATCCACCTACCAACCCACCCACCCATGCACCCTCGTACCCAGCAACCGCCCACCAATTGACCCCAGCCAGCATCCACCCCAACCAGCTGGCCCACGCACCCAGACATCTAAACATCTATCCACCCATCAATCCATCCACTTATCCACCCATCATTCCACCCCCCACCACATCGAACAGCGAGACCCATCCTCCACACCCACCAACCAGGCCCCACCCAGCCAAACCCATCCGACTGAACCAGTTGACCAAAACCCACCCACAATGCCAACCCAAACCAAAGCAACCCAGACCAACCAGAACCAAATCGAAACCGAATCCGAACCAGAACCAAACCAAAACTGAACCAGAACCAGACCAACACCAAACCAACACCAAACCACCACCGAATCAACCCATCAACTGACCCATCCACAAACCTGCCCACCCACCCAACCAGCAAACTGAATGACCAACCGACCAACCAAACCCATGTGGACCAACCCAAACAAACCCAACCAACCCAACCAACCCAACCAACCCAACCAACACAACCAACCCAACCAACCAATTCATGCTAATCCAAACCAACTGATCGAACAGCCCAACACACCCGCTCATCGACCCAACTGACCAACTGATCGAGCAACCATACCCATGCAAACCAAGCCTATCCAACCCACTGACCCACCCAAAGAACAATCTAAAACCAACCAAACAACCCACCGATCTAACCCACCAATCAACCCAGACTAAACCCAACCAAATCACCAACCCGGTTGACCAACCGACCCACCTAACCCACAAACCGAACCCACATAAAACCCATCCAACCAAACCAACCCCAAAGCAAACTGAATCCCCCAAAAAAGAAAGAGCAAAACAACCCATCAACAGACCCACCCACCTAACCAACAAATCCACGCGACAAGTAATCTGAACCTGCCAAACCAACCCATCTATACCAGCCGCCGAGTAAATCCAAGCCAAACCAAATCTAACCCAACTGGAAGGACAAATGCACGCACAGGCCTGACCGGCCAGGCCGACCAACAAACTCATGGCATCACTGTAGGCGCTAGCCACATTAGGCAAGTTTGCCAATCCCAGCGGAGTTGATTGGGAGTGATGATGTGTCTGTTTTCACATATGCTAAAGCTCCATCGTAAACCAATGGTATGCTAAAACATTTCGATTCTGACCATGGATCTTTCTACCCTCAATAACAGAGCTCCATCGTAAACCAACGGTATGCTAAAACATTTCTATTCTGACCATGGATTTTTGCGGTGGATTTGTGCAGTGTGCCAAAGAAAAATGCACCGGTGCGACGCAATTTTGTTTCGCGGCGCAAGCCAAAGAGATCCATTAGTCCAAACCCGGAAATCGCGAGTGTATACAAAATAAAAAATGTGTCAGAACAAAATGACTGGGAGTTGCTTTGATAGTATTGGTACACATAACTTGATAGTAAGTCGATACAAAGAATCTCGGATTCTGAGAACCATACACAAGGTATTAAGTGCACACGAGTATGTGTGTTTTGACATGGGCAGATTTGCAGATGCTTATGTAATACATCATGCAGTTACACGAGAGATTGGCACACGCTTATGGCAAGGTGCTTAGACGATAGATTGGCACGTCATATATCCAAAGTTTTCGCACAACCAAAAAACATTACACACACATATATCAAAGACACCATTTGGCAAGTCGTCCACTTTCTTTGTGGTAGGTTGCAGGTTCGATTCCTTGTGAGTGAGTCGCAAGCTTGGAGTTCGAATGATAGCTTCATCAGGAGCGTGCAGTTCAAGCTGCCTGGCTAACAGTACCTGGATTTGGTCGGTGCGCATCCACTCAGTGGAGTCGAGCTAGGTGCACTGTGGCATGGTACGCACCATGCTGAAATGGGGTGGGTTACACTTCACTTTCACTCTATCACACTTAAACTGTCTGGTAAGTCATTGCTCTCTATTTTCGAGAAGCTGCGGCTTCGACTCCTTCCGGCCGTATTTGGAGCTTGGAATTCCAATGATGCATTCTGTTAAAAATTGCAGTCATACAGCATGGATTTATCTATACAAGTGAACGCGCTGCAGCGAAGCCACGGCCCAGCACCAGCCCCGCAGCAGGCACGGCCATTATCTGGCCCGGGTGAGATCGAGGGTGTTTGTTTTAGAACATGAGGGACACACAACATTCGGGGGGGCATCGGCCAAGGCATCAGCATGCCGTCGGATCCTTTGTAAATCAGAACTATTTTATTGTGGTCGCCGCTGAATTCGAACTCACGTCTGCAAATCAACAGTTTCATGTGTGCATCAACTGACCAGCCTGCCAATGTGCAAAATGAGAAGGAATCTTCTGCAAGAACTGCCCAGTAAACCGTCGGAAGAGAGGGAGAAGAGGACAACAAACGAGGGGCTGTGACAAACTGTTTCATATATACATATTAGTCAAACAGAACTGTATTTATATATAAATAACTAACTGTTTTTCTGCGGTTGTCTTTAGCGAACATCACACACACACACACACACACACACACACACACACACACACACACAGGAAAAAGAAAAGATTCTTTTGTTTCTTTTTCTCTGCTCCCACGTGGCTGGCATATTGAATACCATCAGGGCTCCAAAGAGCAGGCAGATGCTCAAAAGCGACAGGAACACTGGAACACGTTTGAACAAATAGGCATGCAAAGTTTGCAAACTCAGCAAAACGTTATATTAACTTATATATCATTATTATCGAAATAACTTGCGAGTTTACAAAACATACCTTGGCATAGAACGTGTCAATGGAGAGAGCAATTCCGTTCAGATCTGGATCCGATGCCAGTGCTTGCGTGACAGGAATCACTCTAGCAAGCTCTTCCTGCAATCACACAAGAAGATTTTTCCCAACCTTTTTCTTTAGAGCATGCACAACTTTTCTGAATTTTTGCAACTCCATCACTTTTCAATTTTCGCCCCGAACTTTTGTTACTTTTTCACTACTTTAGTACTTTCCATTGCCAATTTTCCGCAAAGCTTATGGGAGAGTAAGAACAGAATAGCCAACAGTCTAAGACTGAGTACCTGGTTATAGCCTTATAGCCTTATAGACCGTCTATTACACTGCTTAGATAACTAAAGTCTGCCTTGGCAGTTCTCAGAAAGGGACAGACCGTTAACCCTAAAGGATCGACCAATTGGATAGCCAGCCTGAAGGGAGAATCATCAACTGTTGCACATACCTTGCCCTCTGAAAGTGGCTTATGCACTTCCTGTGTTGTGTCACAAGATTACGATTAGAAGTTATTGGGAGGAAGGAGGATAGGAGAGTGTAGAAATGATTGGGAGGAAGGAGGATAGGAGAGTGTGGGGCCAAATAGAGCTAAGGAAACATAGAACAAGAAAGACAAGCAGAGGGTAAAAATTTAAAAATAAAAACAGAACAGGGGAAAATTGTATCTGCCAGGGAGATCTTTTCCTCCTATAGGTGGCAATAATTTGCTTACCACCTGAGTTACCAGCCAAGCCACCCTGTTTGCCTCAGATTGGCCAGGGTGGTCAGGTCGGCCCAGGTCCGGGCGAAGTCCTGGTCAAGGTCCCGGGCAGTCCCGGGGCAAGACAAAAAAAAAACATGTCATGCAGAATTACAAATCAAACAACTCTTGGCCGAGGGTCGCCCCCAAATTCGTTATCGAATCCGAAAAAAAAGAATTAAAACCGAATACTAAATCATATCGTACCTAGACTACCAGAGTGGCCCGGGGTCACTTGCCCGGCCGGGCCAAAAAGAATAAAAAAAATAAAAATGAAAAAAATAAAAATAAAAATTTAATTTTTGCTCTAAATTTGGTGAGGAATTCCGATGTGACCCTGCGGCAAAAGTTGTTCAGTTTAGTTTTCTGCATAACATAGTTTTTTTTTTCGGATTTTTTGGATTTTTTTTTTTTTTTTTTTTTGCTGGGACCTTCCCTGGTCCTTGCACGGGCTGGCCGCCCGGGTCCGGCTGGTAGCCTAGTATCATACCCCTTAAACTCCCTTTAAGCCCCTTCGTGTCCTTTTGAACTCCGCTTATATCCCATAGACATCCTTTCGTGAGACCACCACCAAATTCAAGGCCAGATTTGGGCACACATCTCAGTGGCCGCAAAATTGGCCCACGGCCGAAAAAAAAAAAAAAAAAAAAGTAGAAAACCTCAGGAAAGCCCAGCATAGGATGATAGAACAAGCGAATAAACATCGTCGCCCCTCACAGTTTCAAATAGGCGACTTAGTCTGGGTTAGTTCTAAAGAGTTTACACCTGAGGAGAACATCTCGCAGAAGTTACTGCCCACCTATAGAGGACCGTGGCCAGTCTTAGAAGTCAAGGGCGGCGAAGACGGACCGTCCTACACTAWAGAACTCCCARCACACCTCCACACTTACCCAGTTTTCCATGCATCRAAGTTATTACCTTGTCAAACAAGTGATCAATTTCCATCCCGTAGATCGATGATCCCACCAGATATGGATGGAAGATATGACATTGATGGTATAGTGGCTGAAGATGTCTTCAGAACCGGAGGTAGGGGTCGTCCGCAGAAACAGTACAAGGTTCATTTTAGTTATCAAGAACCGGAAGACGACCGCTGGTTTACGAGATCTGAACTTCTAGAGACAGCTCCCGATATAGTCCGGGCCTACGAGAGACAACAGCGAGGTAAAGGTCCTGCCTTGGATTGAAAATTTCTCGGAGGACCTCGAATCTAGGCCGGCTGAAACGGTATTCACCAGTTCGAAGTAGCTGATGCAGATCCCAGGGCTCGATCCCTAGATCCCCAACTTACCTGTGTACAATACCTGTGTCAACTCGAAGAATTGAACCTGCGACCTGTAGAACCGCCAGTGGTAAGTAGGTCTGTCGTAGGTGTATAGGTAGCCAGGATTTGATCTGTAGACCTGTAGATTAGAAGTCTAGCTGCAGTCCTTCTAGAAGGTCGGCAAGTGGTCAAGTGGTGCAGGCAAGTGGCCAAGTGGTGTGACTAAAGCAAGCCCACGTTGTAGACGAGGACAAGTGGCGAGGTCAAACAGCAGGACCCCAGTGCAACTGCACTGCATCGTAGGGTCGTCGCCATGCAGTCAAGGGAGAGTCTAGAAAGTACCAGTCCGGTCCAGCTAGTACCACAGGGGGGACTGTGTGCACCATGGGCCAAGGATACAGGGCAGACCAACGCAGCGCAGAAGTATAAATCAAGAGGCTGCGTCCAGCCATTCATTCATTCCTGTGGATGCCATGCGGAAGCGCTGCCTCAGCAACTTGTGCGAGGAGGTCTGCAGTGTGCCCGAAGACGAAGTGGGCAGAGAAGTGTAGTGTAGCGATAGGGTAGTGGCAGCTAGCGCTGCCATAGCCATAGCCTAGTGTGTGTGTGTTGTGTATGAACATTGAGTGTCGCGTGTGGGACATCCAGGGTGATCTCGAGTGTGAACAGTGAGTTGTATGGGCGCACAGTCACCATAGCCAGTTGGAAGAGAACTCATATCTGGTTACGATATCTTTGAGTACTGTGTGGGCGCATTTCGCCAGTTCGCTGTATCGCTGTTTGCAAGCATGATGAAGTGTGAATAAGTCGAGTATGATTGCAGTTTCATGTGTATGAAAGTCAGAAAAGTTTTTGAATTCTATAAATATAATTTCACCAAAATAATGGCAAATATATTTTGAGATCGCATGCCAGATAATATTTTGCATCGCATAAGTGCGTGCTGCTTTTTGATTTGGAATTTAACTTCAATCAAGTCTTTTGTGCCGCCCGGGTTACCTTGGTTGACCGAACCCCCCAGATAAAGAACTATGTTGTGCAGCAAGGGCCAGGGGAAGTCCCTGCAAAAAAAAATGAGGAAAAATGAACTGGGCAACTTTTGCCTTCAGTTTCACATCGAAATTCTTGCCAAAAAAAAATTAAAATTAAAATTTATTAAATTAAATAAAATTTAAAATTTAATAATATATTTTTGCAATGAACTTGCCGTTTCTCAGCGGGCTGTAACAGTAACTGGGTCATTTTTGCAACTTTTCTGAGTTCTGGGTCCTAACCGGTAACTGAAACGGGCCTAGACAGACAGTGGCATCTCTGTAAATTCCTAAATTGTCCCTGAACCGGTACGACTGGTACCTCATCCAGGCCTAAACGGACTGTGCTTTGCCGCTGCCTGAGACCGGTATGTTGTTACTGGGAAAACACAGGCTGCCCACGAGTGTTTGCTTTGCTGTATCCTAGGTCCCCGGAGTCCGGTGCTGTCCAGTCCAGTAGGCTAGTATAGAGCTATAAATAGAGTCAGGCGGGAGTGTTAGAGATCTTTGAACTGTTGGTCTTCAGTGGGTGAAATGCTGTTTGCAGTTTCTGTTAACTCCACCTGGCTACCGAAGCAGCACCGTAGCTGGAGGTGACAGCTAGGGCTTGGCAGCAGCGCTGAAGCATGCTCTCATAGCGCCGAGCCAGGCAACACCATATCTTTGCTGTTGGGGTTAGGTGCCGCCATATCTTCTTCTTCATGGCAGCAGTACTTCTTCATGGCAGCAGTACTCCTTGGTGACAGCCAGAGGTTTCTTCTTCGTCCTGGAACTGGCGCTGTTCATTCTGAGTGGTCTCTGATCTGGCGCTGATGCATCCGAGTGATTCCTGAGAGGCACTGGATCGGATAAGGTTGCAGGGAGGAGGCGCCAGTGGCCTGCAGGTTCCGGAGGCTGGGTGCTGGGTTTTGAGATGAGCGCCATAGCTGGAAGGAAGAAGAGTCCAGGCGTTGCAGGGAGGCGGCGCCGCAGGGAGGAGGCATTGCAGGGAGGAGGTGTTGCAGGGAGGAGGTGTTGCAGGGAGGAGGTGTTGCAGGGAGGAGGCGCCAGTGGTCTGCAGGTTCCGGAGGCTGGGTGCTGGGTTTTGAGATGAGCGCCATAGCTGGAAGGAAGGGAGGATGATGTGGAGGAAGGAGGAAGACTCCAGGGCCTTGAAGAGGCCATGTTCTGAGTTTGTTTAAGGTTGTTTTCACTCGGTTGAGATTTTTGGGGTTCCTGTGAAGCTGATTGAACTGGAGAGAGACGGGGGACTGAGAATTGAGTGTCGACTGTCATTTCAATTGAATCCGAGTTTTGAGCTTTCACTGTGCATATTTCAGTCGCATGTGTATGGGAACTTGTTGTTGATGCTCTGTTGGATGGTATTTTAATCAGCCACATAACTTGTGTTCTTTTTTTTATTTTTTTTTGTTCTTTTTCGACCCAAGCAGGCAAGTGGTAAAATTTATGCTGTGACAATGTCCCTGTAATTTGTGATAATTTATGCACAGCATGCCCTTCTGATGCCCGCAACTTTGTGGCAGGCCTCTGTCACACGTGCGTGCAATTTGTACCATGCCGCTGGGCCGCCAGCACTTGCACCCTGCTATCTAATGGCCAGAAGTGACGGGGCATCCGACAAAGTTGCACGAGCACGGAGCGGCACACAGGAAAACTTTCAGTCCCAGACAGTGTTCCACAAATTTGAACCGGCATCAGAAGGGTGCGACGACCCGTCCAGGTTACCCGGGTGACAACAAAAGGGGGGCTAGTTCTTTTTCGTGCTGTACAGCAAACTCCCTGGTCCCGGGCGGCAATCTGTGAATCTGATCGCGGTTGAGTCCCTCAAACGGTGTGCGCGGTTGAAAGGACTTGTGCAGTTCGTTGGGAGTGCGGCAGGTGGCTAGATGCACGCTGTTATTGTACGCACTAGCTACTTTAGGCAACATCTCATCC